GGGGCGCTTGTGAATGGCTTTTTTTTTTTTTTTAAGGGACTGAAGTAGGCAGCCCGTCCTCGGAGGAGATGAATGGAAGTTTTGTTTTTTCGCTAGAGTAAGAATTCAAACGGTTGCCAAAAAACGAGCAGGTTAATCTAGTCCGATGTTCCCATTTCCTCAATGACAGAAAACTTCCAGCATTTAGCAGCACAGATCCATGCACGTTTGCTGCCTGTTGCCATATGTATATATGGAAGGGGGAATCGTTGCACCAGGTTTTTCCAGGCCGAAATTGTGACAAGAATGGGGTCTGGAGAGACCTGGATAAACCCAATCGCTGGGAGCCCGGGCCAGTGCAAGTTTATTCGGAAAAATCTCTCACTCATTTTAATGGGATTTACTCGCCAAGTAAATATGCCTATGGCTCTAGCCTGCAAACTTCAATGGAGGGTATTTTGGGGGGGGCGGGGTGTTGTTTTGTTTTTAATAGAAGATTTTACACCTACTTCGACGGAAGTATTCCTTAAGGTTTGATGGATAACGAGAAATATTCTTCCTTTAAATCCAGCACGTGAGGAACAGCGAAATAATCAGATTAATATATGTTTACTGTTCCGCAAATCCTGGATTAAGACAAAATGACATTAAAAAACAACAACAACAACAAAACATAATCATCTCCCTAGATTCCGAAGTCAAGGATGGAAATTGCAATTTTGCTCAATGGAAAAGTCGCCCAACGTCCTTTAGACAAGCTGATCTCTCACGCTCAGTATTAGGGCTGCCTATATTGGCCTAGGGGACGTGGGTGGCACTGTGGGTAAAAGCCTCAGCGCCTAGGGCTTGCTGATCGAAAGGTCAGCGGTTCGAATCCCCGCGGCGGGGTGCGCTCCCGTTGTTCGGTCCCAGCGCCTGCCAACCTAGCAGTTCGAAAGCACTCCTGGGTGCAAGTAGATAAATAGGGACCGCTTACTAGTGGGAAGGTAAACGGCGTTTCCGTGTGCGGCTCTGGCTCGCCAGAGCAGTGATGTCACGCTGGCCACGTGACCCGGAAGTGTCTCCGGACAGCGCTGGCCCCCGGCCTATAGAGTGAGATGAGCGCACAACCCTAGAGTCTGTCAAGACTGGCCCGTATGGGCAGGGGTACCTTTACCTTTACCTTTATATTGGCCTACCTTGCAAGTCTGTTAGTCTGTTGGAAGGACTGCTGCGTTATGCATTACCACTGACAGCGTTTACAAAACGGAACTTTCTAAATACCCCATCAAGAAAGGGAAGGATTTTTGTTGCACTCATTGGTTCAGGTGCTGGAGTGGTGGTCGATCTAATAAATTAATAATAATAATAATAATAATAATAATAATAATAATAATAATAATAATAGATCAATCATGCATAGGATTCATGCGGCGGATTTTCCCCCATTCAAATCAATGGGGCAATTTCAGAAGCGCCTCGCCCTGTTTGGATCACCACGTTCCCTGCTCCCCTCCCCGCAAACCCCCGAAGTTCAGGCTGAACGAAGCCCCCTGAACAGACCTGTTGCATTGATTCGACACCGATTTGCGCAAAGCGCCGCAGTTAAATGCACCCAGGCTGAGAGTTAATTCTAAACAGGACTGCAAATACCAGCGCTTTCTCTGCATCTCATTATTGCACTAAGGTTGTCGGGCCCCCACAATGGGCACCGCGGAAGAGCTTAGAGAAAAATAAATAACTGGAGAGGTTGCTTTCGGGGTTTTTTTGTGTGTTTTTCGGGACTGAGGAGGGAACCATTCCGCCTCGAACCTACAGAGGGCGCTGAGAGCCTTGCCAAAGGAGAGGAAGAACCGCGAGTTCGGCGCGACCGCTTCTTCCAATGCGCAGCCCCCCACCCCGTAAAAAAAAAAACAGACATAGACGCGCAACTCCAAGGACGCCGAAAGCCCCCCGCCCAGCTTTTGCTTTCAATTGGGAAGCGAAGCTCATGTGGGCCCGTGTTCTCTGCCTGCACAAGCTCTCCATCCCAGACCCTGGAAACATAAGCCGGTCACTTTTCGGAGCTAGTGGAGTGGCCAGATTTTGGAGAGCTTGCCAAGAGAAAGCCCTACCCGTGCCCTAACTTGAAAATCAGCCCCGAGCCCCAGGTGGGGAAAGGCCCATTCGCTAGGCTTCCTCGCCGCCGTGCGCGTAAGTCCGGGAGACGTTGGGTCTTCCGATCTCCCCAGCGCTTTTATTTGTTTCCCTTTCACAGCATCATAAAACGGTGACGTTGGAAAGGACCGCGAGTCCGAGGGTCATTTAGTCCAACCCCGCTGTAACGCAGCAATCTCACCACTCGGGTCTCCCACCCGATTGGAAACCGGACCGCTTCGCAAATGTGCGAGAGGTTATAATGCTGCGCAAAAGCGAAAACTTTCCTCCTCCCCAACATCCATTTGCAGGAGGTTTTTGAGAAGAGAGATTTTAAAAGTTTGCAAAAATAAAAACGAAATCACTTTCCGGAAGAAGCAATGCAACAACAAAGGATATTGTTCAGAGGTAAATCCCGCTGCGCTCAATGAGACTCATTGTCAGGTTTGGGTGTGCGCACTCAGGGCGCGATCCTCATCGGGCGCCTAGAAATGGAGATCATTGCGACTTACTCCGAGGTTGACTGGCCTAATAAGGAAGCCTGGTATCACCGTTTCCCGGGGACAGTCCCCGGATTTACAAATCAGTCCCCTGACAAATTCCATCTATTTAGCAGGAAGTTGAAAAGTGTCCCCGGATTCATTGGGGGGAAAAATCTGGTAACGTTTAATGCCCTCTGCTTCCATGACCTTAGAGCTGGATCCTAAAGCATTATTGCTGAAAAAGCAAATCCATTCGGTTCCAGCGGTGTTTTCGCCCAAGTAAGGACGCCTCACAGTTCAACTTAAAGCACACCTCAAGCTGCAATCGGAAGCTACCCGCTTCCTAGGGAGGCAAGTCTCCCCTAGAACCGAGAGAGGCTTACTTCTGAGTAAATATGTTTAGGATCGCGCTACGCCTCTGCATTGGGTTGCGTCCCCACTTCATAATTTAAAAGGTGCCTGAGCCTCTTCCGCACTTCAGCTGCGATTCTAGGCCGGATTTACCTGAGAAGAATTCATGCAGGACGCCACCGGACTTACTCTGAGTAAACGGTTACTCGGCAAGAAGCCCGACTGAACTTTCTCCCTTCTAAAGGCGCAGGGGATGGATTTGCGTGGCGCTTAAGAGGGTCTAAAAGTGTTGAAGACCTGGGAACACGAACCCCCTCCCCCCAAAATCCTGACCTATTTACAAAGGACTGGAACCAGCCTGGTTCTTTTGGCCCTGCCTGGGTTTTACCCGCAGGGGCGGAAAGTTCCTCGGAGGAACAGCCGGCCGCTCGCTGTTCCATAAAAAAAGAAATCCACTACCGCGGCAAATTGACTGGGGGGGGGGAGGGAGGAGGAGGGAGAGAGAAAGAGAGAAAGAGAGAAAGAGAGAAAGAAAGAAAGAAAGAAAGAAAGAAAGAAAGAAAGACACCCTCTTCAGCGTTCAGTGCTATTGCAGTTAAAGAAAAGGGAGTGGAGGAGAAAGAGAAAGAAAAAGATGGGGGGGGCAGATCAATATTGTCACCCTTGATGGGGAATTTATTAATATTTGATTTCAAATCTCGTCCTGGTTTCCGACAAGTCCTGCTCCGAGGATGGCGCAGTTCGGATAGGCTGTCTCCAGCATGATTTTTTAATGACTTCCCCAGCTGCTTCTTTCCATTTTCCACCGTCAACAACCATCTGGTATCTGATTAGCACCTCAATGCTCATTTAGCATTCTCATTTAGGAAGGGGAGGAAAGTCCGCGGGGGGGGGGGGCTGAAAGAGAGAGGTGCGTGTGGAAGCCACTCGAAAAATATTGCAACTTTTCTCAAGGGCTGCTCTTGGAGAGATTAGCCGAGCTTTGAGAAGCTCTCGTCTCCTTTTTTCCTCCTGAAGCAGAGGGATGGAGACCATAGCGCTCCTCCTCTCTTCTTGCCGGACAGACTGATGACTTAAAAAAAATAAATCTCTTTTTTCTCCACTTGCTACAAGGATCTCTACCGAAACTCCACATAAAGAGGGGAGGAGGAGATCCCAACCGCCCGGCTCGAGATAGAAACTCAGTCCCTGCAGACCCAGTTTATTTGCTGGATCTCAGTTTTCCGCCTCACAACCAGAGAGAAAACATCTATCTTCCTTCCTTCCTTCCTTCCTTCCTTCCTTCCTTCCTTCCTTCCTTCCTTCCCTATCGCAATATTTCCGAGTGGAGATTTGCTTCCTAGTTGGGAATACACAGACCAGTTGGACACCAGGCCTGTTTTGGGAAAGTATTGCGCAGCAATCTGTCCTATCCTCCCCTTCAGAGAGGGAAAACAACAATCTTTCTCATCAGAGGAAGAGTTCATTCCCGGCTAGCAAAATAGCAAGAAATTTTCAGGCAGCCCAACTGGTGTGGGCATTGTGCATAATGTTAATAATATAATATAAAAATACAGATTAGCATATGAGACAGGATATTTTCCTCCCAGGATCAAGGCAAAAAATGAATAAATGTACAAATAAATAAGGTGCAATTCACTGGAAATTTTCATAAGCATTTAAAGAATTTTTAGCCCCTTTATCATCTGCCTTTTAAACAATTGATTCAATGATTCAGAGATATCTGCATGCTCCTGAATTTTCAGAACAAATATATTTTTGAAATAACTTAGCATTTTGATACATTAAAAGCTATCATTCTGTGTTGGAAGGAAATCTCTCAAGATTATTCTGTCTCGTTCCTTTCTATCACAGCAACACACTAGAATCAAAGTGCTCTCAAAAAGAAGCAAGAATTCACTCATAGGCCCAATGATTTCAAATCAGGCCCAGCCACTTCTCCCAGGACTAATCAGCTCAAGGTTTAGTTGATTAACCTACCAACCTAAATCAATTAATACTTGCAGTCCTACGAACATTGAAAGCCTTGTCAAGAAGCATTTTGGGCAACACCAAGACTCATTTGTCCAGGGAGAGGTCATAATTTCATTTTGTTTATTAGACAAAAATATACGATTTAGACAAGTTTTTGCTGTGGAATTATTTACAATTCGAAATCACTTTATATACAGAAAAAAAAATAACACAAACACATGAGAAATCTTTACCAAAACCAATAATCCAATCGTGGTTAGAATTACACGCTCTGAAAATGGAATAAAGGAAAAGGGGAAAGTCCAGGTTGAGGAGTTGGGATATATATATATATTTGAAATGGATTGATACCACCTTATTGCAAAAAATGAGATTGGTGGGAGTCATTTAGATAATTTCCACTTTTTTTGTTTTGTCCTTTAGACCAGTCTGTGAAATTTTCTTTTCCACCAAAAAAGGGGGGGAAAGAACACGCCATTTAATCAAGCAGAAGGGAGAGCTGTTAAAATTCACGATGTTCCCTCTTGCTGAGTCAAAGAGCTGTTGGAAAGAAAAGACAGAACCATCTATCAGTGAGAGCTCAGCTACGCTCGCCCATCTGCATTAGGGAACAGACTAGGAATATATATTTTTACACAATAGAAATGCAATGGTGACATTGGGGGCGGCGGGTGGGGGTGGGGATTCAGTTTCTTTTTAAAAAGCACACCCCAAACTTTCAAGCTAAAGTATATGGTCTGTAAGTTTATGCCACTTTGAAAAGCTTTACAAAATTGCTTGATTGTTGCTTTGATTTATGATAATGAGGGTGTGCTTGGATTAGTCTGTGTTATCCAAGCACTTTCTTTCCTTTAAGTAAATTTCAGTGAACAAGAACTCACTTGTCCCGGACAGGCTGAAAGGGAGGTTTTAACTGCTGAGGTGGAGAGTCGGTTCTTGGTACGTTTTCTCTTTCTGATGAGGAAAGAAAAGAAAGGGGGAGGGGGAGGAAATGTCTTAGCAAAGTTTGCTTATACAGAGAGACAAACATGCAATAAAATTACCCCGCCATATCTGCAAGTTTCATGTCATGTTCCTTCCTTCTCTCCCCTCACCTCATGGTGTAATGCCGTGGCTGAGTGACTGAGCTGTGAACCAGAAAGCCCCCTGTTCAAATCTGGCCTCTGCCATGAACTCAAGGTGGCCTTAGGCAAAACAGTCAGCTTCCCCTGCTCTCCATCAGCACTATAGCCCAGACCTTACAGGGTTGTTGTACGGATTGTTAAGAAAATGAACTTTGAACCATCCAAAAGCGTAACATAAATGTTAAGTCATTACTTCTTCTTTGTTTTACTTTGTATCACCAACAATTGATAAAAGTTGATTAAAATGAGGGGGAAAGACAGGTTGGGATCCTAAGGAATTTCATGATTGTTTTGTTTCTCCCCAAGGGGGAAGTAGAGGAAGTCCCACTGAACTCACAGAATCTTACTCCTGGGTAAATATGCATCGTCTGGACTAATGTCTCTGCCCTGCCATCCTCTTTAAAGAAGTCAAAATAAATAAGGAATCAGGAAAGCTGTGGCAAAACTATGAGTAGCTCAAGGTATCAAGAGTCTTCTTGGAAGAGTCTTATATTTTATACACTAGGGACTGTGTCTCCATCACCACCCTTAGAAAGAGAAGGGTTTCAAAAGCTACCTGACCATCAATAAGCTATAGCTCCAGTCAAGGCCTACAAAAGGCTTTTTGGGACCCCCCTCCCAATCTGGATCAGGCTAACCAAGTTAAGTCCCAACTCCGTGGGACTTGCCTTCAAGTACACAACAAACAGCCCACCCGCCAAGTATCCTTCTCCCTCCATTGTTCACATTACCTATGTGTTTAGGGCTCGTCCTCTCTGAAGACTTTTCAGTGTTAAGAGCTGTTAACACCGAGGGGGGCTGCTGCTGGACCTGAAGGTGGTGGTTGTGGTGGGCAGCGTGGTGGTGATTAACTCCCAAAAAGGACCTCACGTTTAACAAGGAACTCTGGGTGAGAAACGCCCCGTTTGTCCAGTTGTGAAATTTGCCAATCTGGCAGGTGTACAGTCCATGGCTGGGGAGGAAAGCCGGGTGCTGGAGCTGGGAAGAGGTGTGGTTAACCTGGGCGGGGGGTGAAGGAGGAGTTGGCTTGCTGAGGGCCCCATCTGGGCTGGTGGCCGTCTCTGCCAAAGACCAGATCTTGGGCTTGTTGTGAAGTGGGCCTTGTAGAGTATTTTGCCTACTGGGGCTCAGGATTCGGGTGGGATTGTCCGAGGCCTCCTTCACCAGGGACAGGGCCTCTTTGGGTTTAAGTCCTTCAGGGCCTGACAGCGTCAAGGCCTTCTCCTTCTCCAAATGCTCTTCCTCGCTGCTTTGTCGTAGAAGCTCTACCTTCTCTTCCTCCTCCTCATTGCTCTGTTCCCCGTCGTTCTCGTCAATCTTGTCTATGTCAATACTCTCCAGGTCAATCTCTTCATCATCTTCATTCTTCTCAGGGTCCCCCTCGTTGTCACTCCCAAAGAGGTTCCCGTCGTCTTGGTCCTTGCTCCGCGATCCCCAAGTGACCTTGTTCTCCTTCTTGAGCCTCCTCCTGGCGTTGGCGAACCAGGTGGAGACCTGCGTGAGGGTCATCTTGGTGATGATGGCCAGCATGATCTTCTCGCCTTTGGTGGGGTAGGGGTTCTTGCGGTGCTCATTCAGCCAGGCCTTTAAGGTGCTGGTGCTCTCCCGGGTTGCGTTCTTGGGCCTCCCTGGGTCCCCATACTGGAACTGTCCGTATGGATAATAACCAGGGGTGGTATGAGCAGCAAAAGTCGCAGGATGGACCCCAGGGTTGTCCTTCAGTTCATACTGGGAGCCCTGCAACACATTCAGAGAAGCCAAAAAAGAAACAGAGTGAGGTCAGGTCCTCCCATTGCACAAGCCCTGCCTTTCTGTTTTAAATCAGGGAGCTTTCCCAAATGGTTTTCCAGAGGGTGGGTAGGGAGGGAGAGAGGTCTCCTTGCACCAAGCTAAAAGGATAATCAAAAAGTGCCCTCACTCCCTGATCCAGCCTCATTTTCCAAGCCTGCATCCAAGAGCCAATATTTATTGTGCTGTTAAAAATAAGCAGGCACCCTTAAAGGAGCACTGACCCACATCGAGAAAGATAATATCAGTGCATCACAGGCTTCTGGGGCATGTCTGGTGCAACAGACAGCAGGGCAGATTCCTGCCCAGCCCCAGCAGCACTTTAAAGAGGGCCTTCACAAAAGAGAAATGATGGGAACGAGAGAGGGATTGCGCTCTGAATCCCCTCTTAACACTGTACAGGCAGCGACAAGGCGCAAGCCAAGCCAAGCCAGAGTTAAGCACATTAAAGCTCACTTATTTCAGGAGGGAAGAGGCACCACACACTTCCTTCTCTCCCGTTGGAAACAGTGGGACTTTCAAATGCTAAACTTTAGTTGGCTTTTGTCCATATAGTTGAGAGTCTCATGGTGCTCTTGGTAGCATGAGAGAGAGAGAGAGAGAGCGCTTTCTATTTGGGATATGTGTATCCCTGCCTTCCTCAATAATCCTTTCACCCTCGGAGGACAAAACACCTTTTCCCCTCCTTTTTGCAAGCCTTTAGCAGAGGTGATTTATTTTCAATCAATATACTTTTTATCATCAGCAGTAAAACACAGTGAAGTCAAATTAGCCCATCAGGTGTTTTGGTAAATAACATTTTATCTTTCTAACAACCTCATTAGGCCTCATTATTACTGCAAATTGCACACACACACACACACACACACACTTTTATGACTCCATTCCTCAAACTTCCGCAAAGTCTAGGCACCTTTTTAGAACTGAGCCCTGCTTTCTAGGAACTGCTGATGGGAGCAAAGGTTGCAAAGCAACCTATGAGTAACATTTTTCCCCCTCCTCTCAGTCAAAAGAATTTTCTGCTTTTCATCTTATTGGTGGCCAGTCATTTCATCTGTCCTATTTTAAAGATAGATTTAATTTTTTTTTCTGGTGACCTGCAAGGTTTTGTTTGCTTGCTTTAAATGTGTGCATACAAAAAGCCATTTGAGTGAAAAATCCTGATACACTTTTGCAAAGAACTGGGTTTATTTGGAGCAAGCTCACAAGAGAAAATGTAAGAGAAAAAACAATGTATATACACCATCTGGAAAGGGCAAAATGTAATATTTAATAATAACTCTATCCGGGCATGCTTGTTACACTCCCTTTATCTCGTTGAGCGATTTTTGTTCTTGTGGCTGAAATGATAAATTTTGTATTCCCCTGTTGGGAATTCTTTTGAAGTAGCTACTTGAAAATCATTACTGCTTCCACTCTTCATTTACTGGCATAGAATAAGTGAGAATGGAAAGAGCTCATTTCAGCCTCTCGTTTTCCTATATTATTCCAATCATTCCATATACCTTAGCATATGATTTATTTTTATAATTTCAACTGGCAAAAAATAATTCCTATTTTTAAAAAACAACGGATAAATAAACAAAAAACTACAACTAACCCCAACATATTTATTTTGTAGAGAAGTAGGGCATATCCTTACCAAATACATTTACTTATTCTGAATAATCTTATCACAATCTGCACAAACCACAAAGAAAAACACCCCTATGTAAAACACAAGAATGGTTTTAAAAACAAAACCATAATAGGACGAGTTTCTTGCCTTGCCTTAATTTTGATAAGGTACTTGTTTGTTATTGTTTCTGCTATGATAGCAAAATCCCTTCTGGGAATTCTGCTGAAATTACTTCTTGGAAAATCGTTACCGATTCTCTGTTAGCGTTCACATTCCAAACAGAAAAATGTAAAATATGTAAAACGAAACAAATAAGTTAACCAAGTCTGCGTAAAATGCCCTTAAAATATTTTCACCACAAAAACCGAAACGACAGCAATACTAATACGCTGCTTGTTGAATTTAAAACAATATCCCAAGAATCTTTTCCATAGTTTATCAATATGCCGTTCTGAAAACGCGGAGAATCCGGAGGGATTTGCAATCATGGATAAATATTGCGGGGGAGGTGAGGGGGGGGAGGGAGCTCAAAGGAACAACTCCGCTTTTCCGCTCAAGTTCATGGGATCGGAAGAAAAATCATACGGCGAACCCGCTAAGAAAAGAAATCTGGGACCAAGGGAGGGCAAACGCGTTCCTGTTTTGTTTGGAGATTTTTTTGGGGGGGGGAGCCTCGCCGCTGTTCCGCGCCTCCTCTCTTAACCGCGCTTTAATTGCTGCAAATTAATTAAAACCTTGGAAACTTCCCGCGGCGAGCGGCTCCGGCGGCGGGTCGGCGAGGCGAAGGCGCCTCCAGCCCGAGGCTGCAACTGGAGAAGGAGCGCGCGAGAGAAATAACCGGCGGTCAGAGTCACCGGTGGAGCCGTGGGCTTGTTTCGTCTCTGGATGGGGTTGGAAGCAAATAATAATGGACGGGGGGGGGTGAGCTCGCTGCGGCCCCTAAGGAGACGAGAAAAGCCTGCGCAGCCCTTCGCCCTGGGAGCCCTCGGAAGAAAAGCTCCCGGCGCGTCGCGCTCCAGCGGGCCACGAGGCAGCCCCTCCGGCCCTCCCAATCCTGCGCCGAGCCGCCGAGGGCCTTGGGGGAAGCGCTTTCCCCAGGGCGCCCTTTCCCTCCCGCGGCCCGCCCCGTCGGGTGCGAACTCACCATCTGCGAGAAGAGGCTGAGGTCCGCGGTGTAGGGCAGGAAGGCGCTGTAGTTGGGCGCGCTGTAAGGCCCGGCCGCGGCGGCCGCGGCGTACATGCCCAGCACCGAGGTGACGGCGGCGGTGGAGCCGCTGCTGAGCTCCGCGCCCCCTGGACGGCCCGAAGCGGCGGCGGCGGCAGCGGCGGCAGCGGCGGCGGCCGCCAGTACCCCGGGCCGGTCGCTGCCGCCGTACACGGCCTGGCTGGCGCTGAGGTACTGCGGGTAGCCCAGCTGCGGGAAGGACATCCCGGGCGTGCAGGCGAGGAGGAGCGAGACGCACCGCCGACGGGGCGACACGGAGCCAGAAGTCGAAGCGGACGGGGCAGCGGCGCTCGGCGGGCGGGCAAGCCGGGTCTGGGACGGCGCGGGAGAGCCCGGGATGGCTGGCTGGCTGGCTCGCTAGCTAGCTGTCGACTGCGCGCCCCTGCCTGCCTGCCTTGTCTCCTTCTCCAGCTGCCGGGCGGAGAGAGGAGCCCCCGTCTGGGTATTTTTTCTTTCCGGGCTCTGCTTTCTTTTCTCGCCTTCTCGCTGGCTCTCTCAGACGGATCTTGTCATCTGCATGTGGAAGAGGAGGAGGAGGAGGAAGGAGGAGGAGGAGGAGACAGCGGCAGCGCGTGTGGATGGACTCGGTGGGGCGTCTTCCCTCAACTCTCGGCTCGCCTGTGCTCCTAAATCCCTTAGATGTGATCTGATCAACAATTGAGCTCCGACTGATGCGCCTGCCCTAAGGTCCTCGGCTGATCTTTCAGATACAATTTGAAGTTGATGCTTTGATTGGCACCCACTTGAGCGCCAAGCCCCGCCCACCCCCGTCCCGTCCTAACCCCCCTTCGGAGGAGCACGTGGTTAAGCAATCCTGCCCGGGCCACTTTGCCTTGATATGTGTGTTGTGTGTGTGTGTGTGTGTGTGTACGTCTACTGTGTTTTGTGTGTGTGTGTGTGTGTGTATTTAATGTTTAGCAATGGGCTACTTTCAGGGAAAAAAAACCCCGCTGCTGTATGACAACCTGTCTACACGATTTTACAGCTGTCCAACATTGGGGTTTTGCTGTTTTGCAGCCTCGGTGTGCCCCCTTCATAAAAAAAGAAAGGAAAATCAAGGGGATTGGTCTCTTCCCACCATTAACACGGGATCCTCCTCAGCTCGGGGACTATTTGGAGAGCGAGTGGCCCAGCCAGAGAATGGGACTTTCCCCTTTTTCTTTCCTTTATCCTCTATTTTGTAGAGGATGGACCTAGACTGCTTACAACTTCCCAGTAATTTCCCCCATGTGCATGTGTGTGCGTGTATATATATATATATATATATATATATATATATATTTGTGTGTTCTTTAATTAGAGCAACTTGCACAAACACCACACACGCTCGGAACGAAACTACTCCATATCTCGCTCCACCATCTCTTTGTGTCAGCTTAGGCTCCACAAATCGACGCATATTAAGAAATATTCACAATATATGCACACCCTCCTAAGACAATTAAGGTCTCCCTTCCGAGTTCTCATCAAATAAAACTTTTTAAAGTCCTTTTCATCTTCCCAAGTGTGTGTGTGGGGGGGGGGGAGTGGAAGATTCTGTTAGTAGCCTCCACTCTTCCTTTTTTGTTTTAGTTTTAGTTTTAAGTGGGGGCGATTAAAAGGCAATTCTTGCCCTGGATTTTGCTGTGGCTCTTTGTAAAGGAGCGCAGGCAAGTGCGCCCATATTTAGACGATCCTCTGGGGGGTTATAAAGCAATATCTCCGAACATACAACTGAGTTTTGAAACACACCCTGAGATGTTGATTTCGGATGAGCAGGTCAGGCCGTTTGCTTCGTCTCAGGGCGCGCTGCTGCCGCTTGTCCGGCCACGGCGTGAACTTGCTACGGCTCAGCTCCGGTTTGAAGGCTCCCCGGATCCCCCTTTCTCTGGCGGTTGCCAGGCGTGCCTTCCAGGACAGTTCCTGCTGGTCTTCTTGCCGCTCTTTCTCCGACGGTTGGAGCCTAACCGGCATGGCTGGCCGCGCACGCCGCGCTTGGAGAGGCTTCCTTGCGCCTCCCGGGTAAGGGTGAAAGGAGACCCCGCGAGGCGCCGCCCACCCTTCGCCTGCAGGTCGTCTAACCAACGTCTAGTTGTTCAAAAAGCACAATAACCACCCCAGCCCATCAAATAGCAGAGGCAGAACTACGGCCCACGTTTGCTCGGACGTAATTCCCGTTCAATTCGCCAGACTTGCAATTCTTTTGTGCGTCGGTTTTCCAGCCATCGAGAAGTAGCAAGAAAGCGCGCTCACTCACTTCTCTTAGATTTTAAATGCCGTGAAGCTCAACGAACGCTGCACCCATGATATACTTGTGACTCTATGCTCCGCCTTTCAGACCTCTGGGGGGCTCCCAAGGCGGCTTACATTCATAAAAGCACGCCGATATAAATTCAAAATATAAAATGACAACATAGAGCAGCCTTCTCTGCACTGTCAGATTTACTTCTGGTGATGAAACTGGTTTCATTACTCTCCCCAAACAAACAAACAAACAAACAAAAAGTGTTAACAATATACTGGGATATTGACAATTGTTTTGTCTTCTTGGGTAATTTAATTAATATTTCAGATGCTGCGTTTTCTTCCTCACCACCCTCTTTTGCCATCCTATATGTATTCCAAACACCAGACATTCTTTTGTGGGCAATCCTTGGCCTCTCAGGTCCTGTTCAGACGTTACCTAACCCCGCCCCCCAGCCAGTTTACATTGTACACCTAACAATGCAAAGTGTGAATGCAACAAACGGGTGTAGCGAAACACGTGGATCATACGGGTATATTTGCCAGAAAGCAGGATAGACTGTTTGCCATGACGCGGGGGCTTCTTGACGCTCTCAAGAACAAAACCAAACGCAGCGCATTTTCTTAGTCCTGCTGTCCTCCATTCTCACGACCTTTCCCCCCGTACGAATTTGCTGGAACCTCCCCCCGCCCCACCTCCTTCATCCAGGGACCCTGATCTCTCAAGTGTCAGAATCCATTGGGAGAAAGAAAGAAAGGTCTGGAGGCAGCCACCGCGAAACTCTTCCCGGTCTCCCTCATTTCAGTGGATTTGCTCCACTTCCTCTCAAGGAAATAAATGCGAATTAAACGTGGCTGGATCATTGATATTATTATTATTATTATTATTATTATTATTATTATTATTATTATTATTATTATTATTATTATTATTATTGACAAGAGAACCAGCAAATTCCCAACGTAGATAGGGAGATGGACGCATATGCTGATCTCCCATTAAATTCAATGGAGCTTTTAAAAAGTTCCAAGAAGCACCCGGAGCCGTTGTAAGCGTGACATTAAGGTGCCCTGGGTTTCCCAACCGAAGATTTTTAGCTCTTGATGCGGAGTGAATCCAGTTTGGACATGCAAATCGATTCCTAACCCCCCCCCCAACTCCGCGCACACAGACACACTCCCCTACTGCAAAGATGGCCCGATCCCCCGGGGACAATTTGGCCACGCTCCCGTGACGCGCTAGTATAAATCGGGACTGTAGCGGGGGCGGCACACCTGGATTGGGGGGGGCGAGAAAATAAAAGGAAGTTTCAAGGTTCGAGAGAGGGAGGGAGGGGACTATATTTCTCTCACCCGGAAAATTCTCTCCGGGTAACAGATGAGAGAGGTGAGAGGCGGCGGCAAGCGAGTAGGGGGCTCGATCCAGGCCAAGGGGCGCGCGGAGCAGCCGGATCCTGGGCCCGCGGATTCTGAAAGGAGGGTCGGTGCTAAGTCCAGCGGGGTTCGCTCTCTTGGCGAGCGCCCGCCTCTGTCTGTGTCCCCCATCGAAATGAATGGGGATTTTTTCCAGCTTTTCACCGGAGCTCCTCTCAAAACCACTACCCGGGCATCTCCCTCAAATTAAGAAATCTCGAATTCTGAGAATGGAGAGGTAGCCATGACGCACAGAAAGAAAAGACGGTTCTGCTGTGGACTTAAGGGACCTGTCCAATTATTTGGTTCAACCCCCGGGTTCACACAGCTTGCCACCAACAAATAACTAAAACAAAACGAATTAAGAAATGTATTTCCGGCCAAGGGTTCGATAAACCATGTAAATCCAGGCCTAGGGGTCGCTGCTTGGTCGAATTTTACCTAAGCAGGGGGAGTCCTAGGAATGACTAGAAGGTGTCTGGCGGGACTGATGTGCGCAGAGGATTGTTTTCTAACACCCATTTTGCTAAATTAAAAAATAAAATAAAATCCACGCGGCGATTCTGATCTTCTCCAGATGTTTTGCAGAGCGGCTGCTCCACCGCAGGGAGCCCTGCTTGCCGAGGACGGCGGAAGACGCCAGCCAAGATTGAGCTGGCAGTTGTGATAACCTGCTGCCGGCGTGCAGGGCTGGAGGTGGCAGTGATAAACCGCTGGGAAAGGGAGGGGTGTGTGGAAGCTTGCAGAGGCGGGTGGCGATGAGGGTGTGTGTGGCAGCGATGGCGAAAGGGACACCATCCCCAGCAGGGACTGGGATGGGAGAGGAAAAGGAAGCGCGCCTGCCTTGCCATTCCCAATCCGACCCCCCCCCCTGCCCTATTTTCACGGCAGGCAACACGCGGGTGATTTGTGGGCTGGAGCTAAGTCTGGCTCGTGAAAACCTAAAGCACCATCCAGCCTAATGGAAGTTATTATTGCTTTCAGTAGCATAGTTAAGTCCACGCGCCTTCTCCGCACTGCTGAAACCAATGGGAGCCAGAAGCGCCTCTGGTATTGAGTTTTCGCTTTTGGGCCTGGGGACCCCGCGCGCGGTATTTTTTTCTAGATATATGTTCCTCCTGATTTTATATTATTATTATTATTATTATTATTATTATTATTATTATTATTATTCTATGGAGGTGACGATTTTGCGAAATTCGCCCCACCCCTCCAGAAAGTCTCTGAGTCTAGTTAAGTCTAATTTATTTGTTAAAGAAAGGAACACACAGTGTCCTTAGAATTCCAATAATTTTTATATGGTATGGGAGGCTAGGTGTATACACATATACTTTTTACGTTTTTACATTCACCTTAGTACACCTACAACTTTTTTTTTTGTTATTATAAACTAATTCTCTCTTTCCCCACCCCCGAAAATAAGGTTTTAAGTTTTATCAGCGGAAGCCTGATCCAATGAACGTTCAGGATCATCTCCTTCAACAAAAATCCTTCCAAAGTTCAGTCGAAGAGGTATAAACCTGGCCTCAATTCACTCTGGATCATGCCCCAAATCTGGGCACTACAGGGAACAGCAGAGAGAATGGCTGGTTTTCCAGTTTTATTAGAAATTGGAGTCTATTCAATAGGGGTGTGTGGTGCTTCTTAGGAAACGTCATTAGGAGTGGCATCTCTTTGGATCAGAGTTCTTGAGTGGGATTTGTGGTTAGATTTAAATGTCCCTTAAGGATGCTGTTGTTGTTCTCATCATCATCATCCTCATCATCATCATGATAACAAGAAGGGATGCATAATGACTGATCCACCAAAAGCATTCTTAGGTCTCCATCCCGCGCGTGTGTCTACGCAGAACAACAGGCAATTTACTAGCACTTGCCCGCAGGTAAGTGTGGAGAGAAGGCTGTGGCCTTACTCTGCAAAAAAAAAAAAGCGCTTAACCTTCCTCTCTTGCCAGCTGAGTGCCCAAGGAAGAAATAAGATACCTCGCCTCTCCGACCGGTCTCAGCTGGGCTTTCAAAGTGTGGGTCTACTGAACAGGATCGTGCCCGAATCTGCTGGAAGAACCCGAGCGCTCCAACTTCACTGGGGCGGTGGATCGGGCCGGGTTTATCTTCCATTTTTTTTTAAATGGCTCCTCGCCCTCCGCCCCCCCCCCGCCATTGCTGGAGATGGAGGAGGCAGAGGGAGGGGGACGGTGGCTTCCTTTTGCGTCCGCGCCCGAGCTGAGCGGAGGGCGCTTCTCATCACGCTCGGATTTATGAGGCTTGTTAAAGGCGCATTATTACTTAACACTTTCTCTTTCTCTTCCCTACCCCCACCCACGAAAGGGGCTGACCGCCCCACCCCCGCACACTCACCCTTGCAGACAACGCAAGGCGTGTGTCAAGCAATCCCAGGCAGACATCTCCGCCGCTATCACCCACACCCGTTTTTAATTCCCCGCGCGGGTGTCTTTCAAGCCAAACAAGGCCTTTTCTGCAAAACTTCAAGGGGTCCGATTATTGCGCTCCAGACGAACGCCCGCCTCGAGGAGCTCCAACCTAGCTGGGGGGGGCGGTGTTGCGAGAACTTTCTTCCAACAGAGGGACACAGTGCGGGGAGGTGGGCGCCTGCGGAGTTTCTACATTGGGAAATATTTTTATAACAGTAACAGGATTTTAATTCCCTCCCTCCTCTGCCCACCCCGATCCTTTCTTGCCAAGCCTGGATAGCCTGTAGTTCACAACCAGGAAATCCGAGAGAGGCAGAGAGAAAATAAATGTGTGTATACACACGCACAAACCACTCTGTCTCTTCGACCCACCTTAATATTTTACAGAGAGTTTTTTTTAATCTAGTTTTATCTATCCATCTATCTCCTTGGCTAAAATGTATTCAAATTTGAGGTCACGATCCAGCTCGTTAGGGACTTTCCCACCCTCCCTTGATTTTAGCAGGAGAGTTCAAAACAACGCATTTTCTCTTTATCTCACATTTAAATAAACATCCTTTAGAAAAGGGTATCTAACTTTGCATGGATGGCGAAGAAGTAAATATTAAACCACAGGCTGGGAATTCGAAAGGGCTAGAGTTGAAACATAAGTTTCTGGACTACTATTATTATAAATTGCCTTTTTGTCCCAACGTGAATCGGTATTCTATTTCTAAGCGGCGGTATTTCGCCCCATGCTCCAAAGTAAATAATAA